ACTTTGAAGAAAGCTACTAATTTTAACTGATCCAGCATTTTAGACTGTTCCAAAAAGGACTTTTATGAAGCCTGAAATTTCTCAACATTCAAATGTTATTGGACCACAAATGTTATTGCTTGCTTAATTAACTATTTTTATTTGGGCCCCCTACAGGATTTCTACATGTCCAAAATGTCAGCTAGAAGAAATCTATGAGAACGGCATCCAATTTTCCTTAAAGGGGGTTGGGTATGTTTTTGGTTGTTTGCTATGGCTACAAAATTTTATTGTCATTAGGAGATGTTTATTATTAATGGTCTTATTCAAAGTGAAACAAGGAATATACAGGGATATTTTATAGAAATAGAAAAAAAGATAGATTATTGAATCTACTCAACTTAAGGTTTTATTTGTTATTCCCAAATAAGGTTAATTTTAACTCTGGTATAGGATTTTGCATATTGATGCAAAAATAAGTATTTTTAATACATTGGTATAAGCTTTACTATATTGATAGAAAGTCAAAGTTACTTCCAATACTTTTAAATTATTAAAAAGTGGTTAGGATATTAGGTATGCAAGTTAATTGCTAGTTATTCATAACTCATAGTCATGTCAGACACTAGTCTAATTTATCACAGGAGTATACATCCTAGGTTTAACAGATAGATATGATTTTGTATACAAATCGTTTACATAAAGATAGGTAGTCTTCAAAAACTTCAGAGACCTACAAAATATGGCATTTAAAATATTATTATTTTAAAGATTCTTTGACAATGAGACAAGTCATTTCCTGGCAGCACCCCGCCTACCTGAAAGAAGATAATGAGCATCAAAGGACCTCCATATGGAGATGGCTTCAAATGTGGCAAACAAGCCACTTGGGTAAAGAAAATACCCTCGCTTCACAACAGACAAATTCTGCCAAAAATGGGCAAACTTAAATGCAGGACAAGTCAATTGCCGAACTTTGCCAAGACAGGGTAAGCAAGACCTAAATAGTTCCTGCCTCACGTATATGTCTGTCAAATATTCTGAGCCAGAAGATTGAAGATGATGCTCCAACGTTACAGAAAGTTATGGGTGACTGTTCAGGAAGCCAACTGTCTCTGTCAAATTTTTATTTTTTGGAAGCTGCTAACATGCACTTCCAATTTACTCTAATAACTAACTTTATTCCTTCTCAAGTCTCTGATGGGGTTGAAGACCAAATAGTTATTGTGCCACAATTAAGCTTGAGTGGTTTAGAAGTTTAAAAAACTTTTCATATAGGTAGTACCAGTAAGGATAAAAGTTAATTTAGGTATAGAACTTGTAACTTGTCAATATAGATAGGATAATCAGATACTTTCTCCTAAGATACCCTCTCCATGTGCTAAATACACATGAACTGGAAATTGCACATGTAGATTTTACCTAACAGTTTTCATTATTTCATAATTATTGTATTGAAAGAAAAGGAGCTTTTTATTGGACTTAAAGGAGGAAATGTTGGTATAATGTTCTTTTAAAATGTGTACACCTTACCCTTGTTCATTCAAATGCTGATTTCTCCCCCCCCCACCCCCACTCTCTGGTTTCAATCCTAAACATCTTGTCTCAACTTGGTGTAAACTTCCAAATAAAGCAACCAGACACAATGTTGAGCTGGGAGGAGCCAGAGGACAGGAAATGAGTGGGAGGAGAAAGGCCACGAGGGAGCTTGCAGATGAAGCTGGAGGAGAGATCTTGAAGGAGAGATCTTAGAGGACGTGGAGCATGAACCAGACCTAAGATTTCACAAAAAGCAAGTATAATGTGGGAAATCTAAATGTCAGGAAACTATGAGGCTTGGAGGTTAGGATGGAGTAACTATTGCCCAGCATTGTGTTCTAGGTTAACTAAATAAACCCGGTCTCTGTGTGGTGATTTGGGTATACAGCTGTTTAGGACTAACAGCAGCATTACTAAAAGATAATTATTAGTAAATATACACCACCGTTTACAACATACAACTTGAAAAACCACCGTTGATCAAGAATGTTTCTCTAGGAGCAGGTGTTGTTGAAGTACATTTGATCACACCGTGAACCCCAAGATTATATACTAGAAAACCTGTTTCTAGTTGTGGTATGGCTCAGCCCTAGCACACACTTCTAATCCAAGAGCTTTCTGTAAACAGGATTAAATAAATTCAACCATAGGTCAAGAGGTGTAACCAGCAACAAGCTAACAGGGAGTAAACATAAGAAAAACCCATAGAGAGTGAGAGGAAGTCCAGAGGACAGATAGAGAGACACACAGGAAACAGAAAGGAGGGACATCCAGTTTCTAGGGTTTTTAAGACAGTGGAGAAGGAGAGGGGGCTTTTTCCTCTGGGACATCAGCTGAGTAGAAAGGTGCTTTCTCTGCCTCTCTGAGCTGGTAGGCTTTCACCCAGCATCTGGCTCCTGAGTCTTTATTGGTAAAATCAAACGTTTGGGATTTTGTTTAAAAACAGCAAGGTGTGGTGGCACAGCCCTTCGATCCCAGGACTTGGGAGGCAGAGGCAGCCAGAGGTCTGTGAATTTTAGACCAGCCTGGTCTACATAGTTAGTTCCAGGCCAGCCGGAGCTACGTGGTGAAAGTCTGTGTCAAAACAAACAAACATTCTCTACAACAGTATAAAAGATTTGACAAATGAGGAGCACAGAGCTTTCAGTTTCTTTCTGATTATATCAAAACCAGTAATTATCAACTTATCCATGACTATGTAAATACTTACCATATGACCCCAGAAAAAGGATAATATCCATATCTTCTCTCAAAACATTCAGGGCTTGATATATTTACAGCACAGAGCAAAACTCAATCAGCAAAAATGGCCAGCAACATTGTGTAACTAACAGAATACGCACAAAGCGCTCTCCTTAGCAGCTGGGTGCCCCACTGCTTGATGAATATTCGCTTTACTGAGCTATATCAAGGCGTTAGCTTGTCTGGCCGATGTGGAATGATCTGTTGTCAGAGAAGCAGGTTGGTTCACACCCCGTGGGTGTGCACGAGGGTCAGGTGACAAGGGTACGTGTGTATGCATACAGCAGCCAGAGAGAAACCTCAGCTGTCATTTCTCAAGTGTTGTCCATCGTGTTTTAGGAGACAAGGTCTGTCACTGGCCTGAGACTCATTAGGTGAGAGAGGCTGCTGTCTCTGCCAGCCCAGCAGTGGGGCTGCCGGCATGCACCACCATGCCTGAATGCTTGTGTGTATGTGTGTTGGGGGAGACACGTTGCCACGGCAACGTGTGCAGGTCGGAGGACAACTTGCAGGAACTGGTTCTCCCCTCCCACCTTGTGGATCGCAGGATCAAACTCAGGTCACGGGCAGCAGGCGCCTTTCCCCACTGAGCTACTTGCCGTCCCCTCACTTTTTGTATGGATATGCATGTCTAATACGTATGTGCATGAACATGCATGCAGCTGCCCCAGGGAGGCCAGAGGAGGGACTCAGAGTCCCTAGAGCTGGAGCTACAGGGGGCAGCGAACCAACCAGGGTGAGTCTTAGAAAACAGACCCCAGCTCTCCAGAGAGCTTGCTTGCTTGCGCCGAGGCAGAGTTTCTGTGTAGCTCCAGCTGCCCTGGAATGTGAGCTGCAGACCAGAATTTTTTTTTTTTTAATATGGATTCTGCAGACTCAAACTCAGGTTCTCAAACTTATTTAAAAAAAAAATTATCAACTGACCTATTACCCCAGCCCAATCCAGACTTTTAAGCATCATCTTCCAATTTTTTAAGCATGGATGATGGTTCCTCAACTTAAAATGGTCCATGGTATACTCTTTTTTGTTTGTTTGATTGGTTGATTTTTTTTTGTTTGTTTGGTTGGTTTGGTTTTTCGAGATGAGGTTTCTCTGGAACTCACTTTGTAGACCAGGCTGGCCTCGAACTCAGAGATCCGCCTGCCTCTGCCTCCCAAGCACTGGAACTGAAGGCGCACGCCACCACCACCCATCTCCAACGTACACTCTTAACTCCACAGTAGTATGAAGGTTGTGTGCACTCATTCTGTAGTAAGTAGCCCGACGCTGGGCTGTGATTTCTTCCTGAGCGCACGACACATGGTATTACCTGCATACAGTGCAACAAGGTTCCTAGTGATCGTGAGGGTAAGTACCGGTGCTCGCCTGTGCCCTGTAAGGCTAACTTCCTGTGTTTGGTACCACCCTGTGCACTGAATCCACTTTCTTACGGTACATTCGAGTTATAATGGGCTTTTCAGGACATCGCCCCAGCATCAGTCAAGGATCACGTGGATTTAAAACTCAAACACACAGCGTAACAGCCCCAAAACCAAAGCCATTGTGTGCTGCATACAGACAGTAAGGACAGCATCTTCCTCTCCTCCACACAGAGAAACCGATAGACAAGGACAGCCTGCAGTCACTAGGTCTGAGCAGGGCTAGCCTTCCTGTAGGAATGGCTCACCCAACTCTCTAGTTTACCAAATCCATCAAAGGCCATCCTGGAAGCCAAGAAGGCAGCTGTTGGTAGAGAACGTGCCTTGATACCAAAAGCACTTGAGCCTGATCCCCCGGCACTCATGCAAAAAGCCAGCTGAAATGCCAGTGCCGGGAGGCAGAGCCACCCCTGGAGCTCATCAGCCCAGCCTAATCGGCGAGCTCCAGGTTCCAGCGAGAGGCTGTCTCAAAGGTTCAAAATGAATGACACCCAAGGCTGACTCCTGGCTTCCACACCCTCATGTGCAAACACACACACACACACACACACACACACACACACACACACACTCTACACCTTTTAGGCCTTGAAGATCACCAGGTCCGTGAGCCTGGGTATCCTCTGTTTTTATGTTAGCCATGTGATGGTCACAGTTAAATTCATGGTGAACACTTTTGTCCTGACTGAAACAAATTTTATAGAAAGCTCCAGGTAAGATCGGTTAGACCTCCCAGATGGGGGGCAGGCCCTGCCTAGAACCCACAAGGAAGACTTCAGACAGGAAAAGGGCAAAGGGATATGGGAAATGTCAGGACTCACCTTGTCCCTGGTTGTCAGGAGCCCGGGAGCCATTTCCCACGCTCCAGAATAATCCCCCTGACGAAGTCTATTTTCAGAGTGCAATCTGAGGAAGAAGAAGAAAAGTGAGGGCACTCAGGAAGGCCCTTCAAGTCCCAGTGCCCCCCTCCCAGTAGAAAGTAGATAGAGGTGAGGTGGGCAGGGTGGCAGAGAGCACCCCTGCAGCCCATTCTTAACCAGTAAAGAGAACCCACAGATCTGCACCAGTCCATCAAACCCTGTCTCCAGCTGAGTAACGGCGCCTCCATCCTCCAACAGCTGAATAAAACTCAGAGCGCCCACAGGGCAAACCCTCACACAGAAATAAAGCTCCCGAGCACCCTGAAAACATCCAGACCTGCTGGAGGCTAAAAGGCAGGGTCCAGGAAGCCCAAAGTAGAAGGAACGAGAATTGCCAATTATAGACCTGGGGACAACGGAAGCTGAGCGAACAGAGGCCTGATCTCATGTGGCCTGGCTATGCCCACTCACAAATCTAAGATGAGGATCCCAAGATTTTAAATGTCACTTGGAAATTAGGTCATCTGCAACATTCACCCCACTCCATAGAAAGTCAATTTCGTAAACAGATTGTCTGAAGAAGGAATAGAAGAAGCGCTTCTCATAATTAAAGGCAAGAAAAAAAACATTTCTCACATGATGTGTGCGACCTGTACTAGATCCTGGCTTACATACATAAACGAGAAAAGGAGACTATACAGAAAAGTTAAGTGGGGCATGAGACAATGTCAGAAAATTCTAAGTATTATTAGGTGTGATTATGACATTTGGGGTAGAGGAAAATGACAGTTATTATTAAAAATCAAAGGTTCTGAATGATGAATTGATATTTATAATTATTGTTAAATATGAGGCCCTCAACAAATAAAAGTATTAAAATATACAGGGGGGGACACTTTCAAGGAAAGTACTTAAAAAGTATAAAAAAGTATAAAAAGTATAAAAAAGTACTTAAAAGACATGTCAATCAAACTTATCATGTGAACCTTAGAGAGGCCTATTATAAGTACTCAATGAAAGAAAGAACTGAGATTTGTTCTACAGATGGCATGACTGTGGAGAAAAATCCACGTAACCAGCCAAAAAAAAAAACAAAAACAAAAACAAAAAACAAAAAAAAAAAAACCCTAAAGCAAGTCGTTTTCAACTAGTAGATACAAAGTTAATAGTAAAATATTATTTTCCTATACATTAGCAGTAAACCACTGGAATTTGTGATTAAAACAGTACAACATTTACTATAACATCCAAACAAAGAAATGCTAAGTGTAAGTTTTTAATTATGAGATGGCTACAAGGAAAAGGACAAAACTCTGTTGAAAGAGAGGAAAGATCTGAATAAATGAAGACATATACCATATAATACGTAGAAAAACTCAGCACTGTTAAGGCGTCAGTTCTCCCCAACCTGGCCCATAGATAAAACACATGCCCAATCAAAATCTTGGGCAATTACTTTATAGATATTTTTAAAGTTCAAATATTCATATTAAAAGACAAAGGACACAAAAGAGTTCATCCAATCCTGAAGAGCAGAACCAAACACTGCCAGAGCCCACGATGCAGTGACAGCAGTAATCACGACAACAGAAGAGCAAACTCAGAAACCCATCCACACAATGAGTCAAATGAACTCTGTTTCAAGAGATCGGAACTGTTCTGATGAAGATGGTGATGCCTAGGCTTGGGGATAACATTCTACAACAACCATGTTCAAAGTGACTCAGTGAAGAGGCAAACCAGAACTGACCCAGGCCTTGAGGGATTGCAAGAACAGCTGGACCCAAAAGCAGGCTCTGGCTTGGGCCTCTAGAAAAGAGCCAATTCCAAAGAAATGCACACTCTGAGGTGAAGACTGAGTACAGGGCCATTTACTCATTTACAGGTGACAAATCTATGAACCCATGGAACCTTTGAGCTGTTACACTTCTTGGAATGACTACAATGTTTTCATCCTGTAAAAGTTAAAAGTAAGTCCTGAAGCCGGGCTCAGAGGGCACAGTGGGTGCAGTGGCACATACCTGTAATCCCAGAACGTGGAGAGGTAAGTAGATCTTTGTGAGTTCAAGACTAGCCTGATCTACAAAGCAAATCTAGGACAGCCAAGGATACACACACACACACACACACACACACACACAAAATACAGAAAGAAAAAGAGAGAGAAATAAATCCTGAGAGGGGGATAAAAACACTGAACACCTTTTTGAAAAAAGCATGTGAAAACCTACTTCCATTGAAGTCTCAATGGTAGAGAAAGAAAAAGAGTTATAATGTAGTTATCCTGTAACAATATCCCCACCAGGCACCAGAGACTAACACTAAAAGTCCATTGCAAGGACTGGGCTACATCTTTGGGAGTTAACAGTCAGTGGGGCCCAAAGCACTTCTCCAAACATTCTAGGCTATGGCCACTGCTCTTGGCTACCCTCCAAAACGTGACAGTAAGACCCTGTTGCTGAAGACACCACATAGTTGCGTAACAGAACGTGAAGAGCTCAAGCTGGCACTGACCTGGCAGCTTTATTTCTTCTGACTAGCTTTCAACTGTTGAAAGGTGCTGCGCAGGCTACCAGAGTGAAAAGGTAGTCATCAATTGTACCTCGCTATGACCCTGTAAACTACAATAATGACTGGCCTAGCAATATGCAGATATGTCCCCTGGTGCAATAGTGACAAAAACATTAAGGAATAACCAACCACTTTCTGATTGGATATAAGCATTACTCCACAAGATGAAACCTTGGAGAGCTGCTTGTTATTGAGCTCTCAGCAAAAAAAATGTTTTCACCCTGGCCTTCACCTGGAGACAGGGATAGGCAGAATGTTTCGCCAAGTTACTTCCCTTTTGTTTGTGTGAGGATCACACAGACAGGTGGTCGAGGTAAACAACTTTGACTTCTCAATGAACCCCTTCATTGTACTGAGGTGCTTTGCCCCGACCTGACCGTAAAAAGGAATTTTGGAATAAACCAGGTGAGACAATTTCTACTGGCAGCCCTCTCAAGTGTGTAGACACGGAATAGCTCCTGGAGGGGACCCTACCATTATTCTGCTAAATGGATGTAGTATAATTAAACCAATTCCTAATGATGTGTTGGTTTACCCACAGGTTAATGCATCTCCATCCTCATTTGAGACACTTCTGTTTACAGAATGATTAACGCCGAGACCACAGCTGGCTTGGTGCAGAGTAAGAAACTGCAGCCAGTTCAGCCCTAATAGGAACATATATACTACAAATCCCCAGCCAAGGCTCAGGAATCACTGAGGAAGAGCTACCAGAAAGGGGCAGAGGTGGTGGGTGACTTCAAAGAAACAGTGTATTAGGATCACAGTAGGGCAGCTGTACACATGAACTCACAGCATGCCCAAGACCTGTGCAAGCAACAATTAGCTCCTGGGAGAGGAGAGGACAGTTTTCTCTAAGAGTATAGCCTACGGTAAGCCAATCACGATACAGTGAAATACCCAAGAATATTTGGGCAGCACATATTAGTTGTAATGGGTTTTGTTTTATTTTTTTGTTTTTTTTAAACACAAAGATGACTGGGTAGAAAAAGCAGGAGGATCTGAGAAGATTTTGGGTGGTAAATACGATCACAATGAGTTGTATGAATCACTCAAAGACCTAAGAAGAAGAAAAAGACCTGGCCACACCTCCAGCAATTCAGCGAGTCAGCCGACAAGCCCTTGGACATGAGGGAAATGTCCCTTTCCTCCGCAGCACTCCAGGCTCTCGGAAGGTCCCAAAGCTCAAGGGAGCCACACAAGGTCAGAAGCCCACAACATGGACAAAGGCCAACATCCCCAGACCCTCTCTCTCCCTCCCTCTCCCCCGCACACACTCCCCACATACACACACACAAGCCTTGGCACACCAGGGCTCCAAACTTCACGGTTGGCCCCAGTCTCCTGGTCTTTGTTGGTCCCTTCAATGGGACAATTTTGTATGTTTTCCCCCGCAAGGCAATGCTCCTGCATGAACACAGGTCCTGTTGAGTAAACTCTCCTGAGACTATTACCCGAGACTCCCGTCCTCCCCAACTCAGGAGTTCCTGTGGAGGACGGCTCCGATCCCTCACCTCGCAGTCTCAGTGGCGGGTGGGAGTGGAAGGATGACATCTGGGTGCCCCAGATCCAGTCTCCCTGACAGCGCATAAACCCAGGGATCACACCCCCACAGCGTAGCCTGGGAAGCAGGTCTCGGGCCAGGCTAACCTGCACCTTGTCTAGGACACGGCACTGGACCCCAAATCCCACTCCCACACGGCCCCCTCCCCACCCGAGGGTCTTCACCGAGACCCCCCTCTGAGAGGGGCAGCGCAACTGATTCCGCTCCCAAAGATTCCACGCATCGAGGATGGAGCAGCCCCTGCCGCCTGAACCTTGTGGTGGCCCGCGCCAGCTCTCTGGAATCTTCTCCGCCTGGAGAGATCTGCAGGAGCCGGGGTGGTCCGCACACTCGCTCACCAGACCCGCAGGAGGACCGTGTACTCGCTCAGGTGACGACTGCAGGATGCGGAAGTACACCGGCCGGGATGACGCGCGCGCATTTCGCTACCCACGCAGCTCTAGACGTGGGGGAACTACAATACCCAGAATGCTGCGTGCAGCAGGACGCCCGGTACTGAGTCCGACGCTGTAATCCGAAGCTTCGGACGACTTGGAGGGGTCTCCCCACCCCTGCAGGACGACAGGGTTGGGTCTGGGAGAAACTGAAAAATTAGAAAAGCCAAACCGAAATAATCATCAGGTATTTTTCAAGGAGGCTCATTGACCAATTATTTTAGAAAGATGTGTTATCTAAATGCCTTCATCCTGGCAACTCTTCTTTACACATCTGTTTTAAATGACATGGTGTGTTTTAAACTGTAGCATGTATGGATGCACTTTTTTTTTTAATGCCAAAAATTCTTGAAAACAATTCTGATTTTTGTAATGATTACAAGAAGACGAGGGCAAGCTAAGTTTGAAGACATTTAAAGCTGTAATGTTTAAAATTACTTTACTCATACAAAAATCACTTGTTGGTTGTAACAGAAAGGCAGATCCTTTGCAAACAGGAATTTGAGTGGAACTGAAATTAATTGATCTTGAATTTTGAATTGTATTCCTGGGAATTTGACGTGAGTAGTATTTTCAAAATATTTCCTATTTGCTTCTTAAAGTGAAGTAACAAATATCAGAATTCACAGGGACCAGATTCAGTCTTCCACGTAAGTCAGGCTTTAAAGGGACAAAGTGCAGATGTGGAAACACCACATCGAAACAGTGAAGGCAAATCAGCGATACGGATAATAAGTGGAGTGAGCAGGGAACTTCCCTGGTGGAGAACATTTTCTGTTCCCAGAACACAGAAGGGAGTCCTGGGGGAACCAAAGCAGCCTGAGTTCAAACGACAAAGAAACCCAGAGATGGGCACTGGCTCCCTTTCTTCACCCATCCATTGTATACGGACAGCAGGGGACACAAAGCTGCCCCATCCAGGAGAAGACCACGGGGGAAATGTTAGCGGGAACACAGCGGGTGAGCGACAAGGCTTACGCTGTGAAACAATAAAGCCTTCAGAGTTTTACGTAATATCTGGAAATGGTTTCACCTCCACAGTAAGACAAATGTGGGCCTCAGAGCCTTTCCTGTTTCAGCTAAGAAAGCTCAGAACCAAGCCTAGAAAAAGATCGAATTGTTTACAAGTAACCTCATTTTATTTGTAAACGTACTTAGAACACGTACCTACGTCACACTAAGTAAGGCAAAACTTTGAAGGGTTAAATTTTTCAACCAAAAGATGTCACACAAGAAAAATAGGATTATGGTGCTCAGATGAAGAAAAAATAAAATCAATAAAAATAAAATTAACAAATAGGGGGAGGAGCTGGAAAGATAGCTCAGCAGTTAGGAGCACTTGCTGTTCTTGCGGAGGTTCCATTTCCAGCGTCGACGTGGTGGCTCACAACTGCTTTGGATTGCAGTTCCCAGGAATCAGACGCCCTCTTCCGGCCTCTGCAGACACGGCATGCACCTGATGACTTCGTGCAGGCAAAACACTGGTCAAAGGAGAGTAAGGAACGCCTTGGGGAGCTGGTGACCGGCTCCTTGGATAATGTGCGTGGCACTCAAGCAGGAAGACTTAGGTTTGGATGCTCAACACCCTGTTTCAATTTTGTTGTTGTTGTTTTGTATTGCATTTTGAGACAGGGGTCTCTCTGTATCCCTTGGCTGTCCAGGAAACTCACCACGTCGGCCAGGCTGACCGCAGACTCACCGAGATCCATCTGCTCCTGCCTCCAAGTGCTGGAGTTAAAGGTGTGGCACCATGCAATCTATATGATTTAGAGTGACCGAAGAGAACACCTGACAAACACATGCAAAAGAAAAAGAGAGCTGGGCGTGAGCCCAGAATGAAGCCAGCATTTGGAAGCCAGCAGAGGACCCCGGGTGTCTGTCCATAAGTCCAGAACACCTCCAGAAGCCGTTATCCAAGGTCATCTGATTTTCTTTTCAAACTGTTAAGACGCCTAAGAAGCTTCTGTCCTGAAACTGCTATAATGCCTTTTAGTTCAAAAAATGTTTCTCAAAGGAGTGTGCATACTGAGACAGAAAACAAACAAACAAACAAAAAGTATGCTGTCCACCACTCCAGAGAAGGTGGGACCTGGGAGAATGGAGCCAAAAACTGAGGCGGACTAAAGAAAGTCGAATGCAATAGCCAACTTCAGTCATAGCATCAGCCAATTTATACTGAGGATTAAGAAAAAAAATCACCTGAGTAAAGTTGTTCTGCAATCAAGCTGAGGACAAGCCACATGTGGTAAAAACATGTTTTCCCATAGGGGCATATAAACTTTTTTTTTTTTTGAGACAGGGTTTCTCTGTGCAGCCTTGGCTGTCCTAGACTCACAGAGATCTGCCTGTCTCTGCCTCCCAGAGTGCTGGGATTACAGGCGTGCACCACCGTGCCCAGCGCATATAAACATTTAATTGAACAACACAGGCAAGCACTAATGAGAAATAATGAGTAACCTAAAATAAACTCCTATCCACCACCAATGGGAAGAGCATAGAAACACATTCCAACAACAACTCAGTGTTTTGTAGAAACTGAGGTCATAAAACTCTTGGGTTTTGTTTGTTTGTTTTTCTTCTTTAGTTTGTTCCGTTCCGTTTTGTTTTTCTCACAAACACTCAGAATTCTCACATGGCTCCATTCTTGGGCCTTGTTCCAACAGGATGACAGACGGTGGAAACTAGACTTTTCCACCGTTGAAGAGGAAGGTCGTTGATAAGAACTGAGGAAAGATGCAGTCAGGATGTGGTAACAGTAGAATGAGACCCAGCATCATGCATTCTGCTTTACTCTAGTGAAGATGCAGGTGGGTGCCGATACCTAGATAGCTGGTGCCTGTGGCTTGGAATGCTCACATATGTGTTTCCTAGCTCTGTCATCTGAAAGAATCCAAAGACAGTTATAGCAGCAGTGAGCACATCTTCCCACATCTGGTTCCTAGGCCATTCTCTACTGGAGGAATCAGAGCTCCCTGTGTGGGACTTACAGGGAATACACAGAATGAGCTTAGATTATCTCATAGTACCAAAAAGTTGCAAGAATTAAAAAACAAACTGATGAGATTATTCAAAAGGATCCAGGAACCAACTCAAAAATCTCACAGCACCCAAGTCTGTAACAATTTGTTAAAAAAAAAAAAAAAAAAAAAAAACCCTGGGTCATAATCTAAACTATAAGTATCCATTGAGTCAATATTAGTGCAAATTATTAGATAAATAAATAAATGTGAAAAAAAAAACATTCAAATCTCCAAAATCAAAGAATGCCAAACGATGTATGTAGACAGTCTATCCCGGAGAAGTTAAAGTACTGTGGAGGCGGAAGTGGGAGGATCTTAAAATCGAGGCCAGTCTGATCCTAAAAGTCACCCCATGGCGGCTTCCTTCTCCCCCACTTCTCCTCCTGTTACATCTTCTGCTTCCTCTCTCTCCTTCTCACTTAGTGATCCCTCTCAGACCCCAACCCCAGGAACCTCAACTCCATCTACTTCTCCTCTGCCCAGTTACAGGATTCTAGGTATTTTATTAACCAATTAACATTCAAATTAGGTAGAGCAAAGTTTACACAGCTAAGACCAGCGTACATGAGGATGTACTGCAACCAGATTTGGGGGAGGGGTGGACAATATTTAGCATTAGATTTCATAGTACCAGACAAACCCCCACAGCCAAGAAGTACAGATTATGTGTTTGATTTTTCATTACAGGGTTATAAGTTCAGTCACAATTAGAAATTACAAACAGAACAGATCTTATCCTTATTATCATCCCCATGGCTCCAATTTAAAGAATCTAAAGAGTGTCTTCTCCGATGCAAACACATTTATTATATGACAACCTGCTTTTAGGCTGGCAGCGTTTGTACTAGGAGAGCACTCCAGACAAACAGAAACTGTCTGAACCAGTCTTTTTATGAATAACAAATACTAATACCCAAGTTCTTTTGCTATATGTGTCATCATCTACACTATAGCGTGGAAAAGTTTATTTTAGTCCATCTATCTTATTTACTGAGCTCTGTTCCTCCAGGGGTGTACCCTGTTCGACCCTCTATCCTTAAACTACGTTTTCCAAAAGCTCTAAGCTTTTGGAATAAAAAGAGAATAAAAAGAGACCTTGACTCTATAACCTGTCCTCCTGGTCAGACAGAGTTTGTTACCCTGCACTAATTATACTGTTTGAGTTAGCTCAGGGGCAGATACCCCAAGAAGACTCTTGGACCGCTTCTAGCTGTGTGCTTATCTATGCTTAATGATCTCCAGGGCATGAAGAAGACTTTCAATAGTAGACAGATAAAGTTAATCTTGGTATTTCCCTAAAAAGACTTAGATATAACTTTCTCAGAAAAAGACAGAAAATGAATCATAATGCAGAAAGTCCCCAACGATGCAACACACGGAGACCAAAACCCAGAAGTTAGATATAGAATATTATAGCAGTAGCAATATATTATTCTGCTCAGCTTTGCTGGAGCTGTGTCAAGCAGCTGTGCTGGCTTCATGACTCTCGCCATTTCCAGCGGATATGACTATGCCATATCAGTATAGCAGAATATTATTAGGGATTGTTTTATTAATGCTTTTTTTTTAGACAAACAGTGTTTGAGTTGACCCTGGGTCTCTGGGATATTCTAGTCTCCGGCTCTTGGTTACACAGTGTCAGGCTCCTT